AAAAAAGAAACAAAATCTCCTTTAACTCGAATTTGCCACAACGGGGTGAAAGTTTGAAAATACAGAGCTGGGCTACATGCATCCATAGAATGAAAATATTGGATAGGAATGGGTGGTCCAGATGAATATAGAATCATAGAATCATAGAATCATAGAATCATAGAATAGGTAGGGTTGGAAGAGACCTCCAAGATCATCAAGTCCAACCCCTGATCCAACTCCAATTACTATATCATGGCACTAAGGGCCACGTCCAATCTCTTTTTAAAAACCTCCAGGGATGGTGAATCCACCACCTCTCTGGGTAGGCCGTTCCAATGTCTGATAACCCTCTCTGTAAAGAATTTTTTCCTAACATCTAACCTAAACCTCCCCTGGCAGAGCTTGAGCCCATGTCCCCTTGTCCTATTGTTGGTTGCCCGGGAGAAGAGACCAACCCCCGCCTGGCTATAACCTCCCTTCAGGTAGTTGAAGAGAGTGATGAGGTCGCCTCTAAGCCTTCTCTTCTCCAGACTAAACAACCCCAGCTCCCTCAGCCTCTCCTCATAGGACTTGTGCTCAAGTCCCTTCACCAGCCTCGTTGCTCTTTTCTGGACCCGCTCCAGCACCTCAATGTCCTTCCTGAACTGAGGGGCCCAGAGCTGAACACAATACTCAAGGTGTGGCCTCACCAATGCAGAGTACAGGGGAAGGATCACTTCCCTGCTCCCGCTGGCCACACTGTTCCTGATGCAGGCCAGGATGCCATTGGCCTTCTTGGCTACCTGAGCACACTGCTGGCTCATGTTCAGCCTCCTGTCGATCAGCACCCCCAAGTCCCTTTCTGCCTGGCTGCTCTCCAGCCACTCTGTCCCCAGCCTGTAGCGCTGCAGGGGGTTGTTGTGGCCAAAGTGCAGGACCCGGCACTTGGCCTTGTTGAACTTCATTTCATTGGAGTTTGCCCATCTCTCCAGTCTATCCAGATCCCTCTGCAGAGCCCTCCTGCCTTCCGGCAGGTCGACACTCCCTCCCAACTTGGTGTCATCTGCAAATTTGCTGATGATGGACTCAATCCCCTCATCTAAATCATTGATAAAGATGTTAAAAAGGACTGGGCCCAGCACTGACCCCTGGGGGACACCACTGGTGACCGGCTTCCAACTGGATGCAGCTCCGTTCACCAGCACTCTCTGGGCCCGGCCCTCGAGCCAGTTCCTGACCCAGCAGAGAGTGCCCCTGTCCAAGCCGTGGGCTGCCAGCTTTTCCAGGAGTAATATAGCCATCCCTTTCCACGATATCCCTGAAAAATTCTGAAACAACAACTGTGTTTCATGTTGCTTCACAACCTGAGGTGATGATAGTACAGTCAGAACTTTTTCAATGTGCCTTAGTAACTATTGTGTCTGGATAATAAAAGTTTTGACCAGCTGCAGATTCCGTGTCCAATCTCTAAGTTTTTGACAAACCTCTTGGGCTTCAATAATAAATGCAGAATAAGCAAAGGCACTGAATATCATTACCAACATCATCACACGGGCAGATTGCAAACCCCTCAGCATCCTAAAATGTGTTATTAGACTTAGACATTTTCCTGCCATTTTTTCCCTGTTTTCTAGGAGCACCAGCATTCCTGAGGTAGATACAGGTCTGAGAACTATAGTTCTACTTGGATAAGTAGAACCAGCTCTAAACTCACCTGCTACTGGTACTGAAATAAAGCTTTGCTGAGAGTCCGTTGTTGACTTTGCTGCATTTAGAAATCAAAGGATGATTTCTTCCGAGTGACAGTGCTAGAAATTATAACATACCTGAATTAAAAATTAAATCATGCAAGATGCAAAGCTCAGATTTGCCATCAGAATGAAAGCTTTAATGAAACTAAAGACATTGACTGAAAGATTCAAACGCAGCCAGAATTTTGGGGGGAGGCTGATCTGGCTAAATCAGAGAAAGAGGTAAGTCATAATGTGTGAGTCTGGATTCACTTCCATGTTTCTTTGGCATTTGGGAATGTTTGGGTCTGAGGCTTTGTGCTGAAATGTCAGCCACTTTATTATGATTTTAGTATCTGTGTTTTAATTCTTTTCTAACACTTCAGTGGAACACAGATTTTTGATTAACTCAGCGCTGTCTGGTTGACTTTTCAAAGTAGCAACTGCAAATTAGATGATGAAGAATTGGAAACAATGTGAGGGTCAGACCATGAAGAAAGTTGTGCAGTCAATTAGAGCTGGTTGAGGTCCTGGGCACCACAGCCAAAGCATGGGACTGAATTTGCATTTGATTCCAGATAACATCAGAAAATTTTTTCTATATCACCTGTTTTTTATGTAAATGAAGGGCCACAAATAACACCCTTATTTCCCAGGACTATTTCAATGATAAGTTAATGAATGCTTACAAATCATTTGGATTTTAGAGTGGATGAGCAGTGGGGGAGAAAAGAAAACAAGAACTCAGATGGGCCAAGAAAAACAGCAAATTCTCTTTATTCTGTTTTCAGCAAACAACATAAACCTGTGCTTAGCTTTGAGAATGAGCTTAAATCTGCCCCAGTAAATGAGAGCTGAAGTCCACAGAGTTAATTATGTGCTTTGGTGATTTTCTGAACTGGACAAATTAACAGGTATAACTAAAAAATGCAGAATATACATGTAAACTTAGCTGAGCATGGCAAACAGTCTGAACTCTCAGTGCTCCTTCATCGGTGTCCAAGCCTGGCACTGCCCTGTCTTTCCTGCCCTGAGTCACTGCAAATACTGGATATGCCCAGATGAGGATCACGGGCAGCAACATTCAGGTACCTGAAAGCAGAATTTGTGTCATTTTGCTTGAAAGGCGAGTTTTAAAAGTTCTCAAGGGTAGATGAAGAGTGATGGAACAAACCACACACCATTAGGGAGTCTGAATCACAACCCTGGATGCAGGACTTGGGAGTAGTGGGGATTTGGACTCTAGCTGAACTTTGCAACTCCTGCTGAAATAAAATTGAACTGGAATATGTCCTTTATCAGTAGTTATTTGATCAGCACAGCAAATGGGCACAGGGTCAGCACTGTCCCAGCTCTGCCCTGCAAGAGCTCTCAGTTATTTAAGGAACATTCTTTTAATATACTTGAAAGAAAGTAACTCCTGGCCTGCAACATTATCAGTCCTGTGCATCTCAGGATCTAACACGTTTTGGAGTTGGTTATCAGCTGTAGTAAAATCAACATTTTATAAGCTTCTATTCTTGTGCCATATTTGTAGAAGTTGCAATGCTATCACTGAACAAATGCCTCTTTCATTGCCTTTCTGGAAACATAAAGTTCCTTTAAAGCCCAGAAAATTAAATTGTGTTCGTCTGGGAGACGGCGTGTAGACAAAATCTCCTTCAAAAGTCAGAAGGCCCCTGAGTCAGAGGAAAGTTCAATTAATTTGTCAGAGAACTGAAAACAGATGATTTCAATCAGCAGCACGGGATGACTTCATGGCCGGCGCGCGCTGGGGAAGGCGGGAGCTCCACTTCCAGCCGTGCAAACAGGCGGCCCCGCAGGATTTGCGCTGCTCTGTAGCCCTGGTTCTGCCGTGCTGAGCTGAGCCGAGCTAAGCCAAGCCGAGAGAAGCTAAGCCAAGCCATGCTGAGCTGAGCTGAGCTGAGCTGAGCTGGTCTGAGTTGAGCTAAAGTGAGCCGAGCTGAGCTAAAACGAGTTGAGCTGAGTTGAACCGAACTAAGCTGAGTTGAGCTGAGCTAAACTGAGCCGAGCTGAGCTAAACTAAGGCAAGTTGAGCTAAGTCGAGCCGAGCTGAGCTAAAATGAGTTGAGCTGAGCCGAGCTGAGCTAAGCCGAGCCGAGCAGAGCGCGGCTCCGAGCCGGGGCGATGTGCGCGGGGCGCGCGGGATGATGAATGGCCGGGATGCAGTGCCACCTCATTGGCTGCGCCGCCGGTGGGACTGGCCAATCAGCGGCGCGGCCGCTCCCGGGGCGGTGCCGCCCTGCGGTCCCCGCTGTCCCGTCCTGTCCCGTCCTGGTCCTGTCCTGTCCCGTCCTCTCCTGGTCCTGTGCCGTCCTAGTCCTGTCCTGGTCCTGTCCTAGTCCTGGTCCTGCCCGGTCCTCGTCCTGTCCTGTCTCTGTCCTGTCCCGTGCCTGTCCCGTGCCTGTCCCGTCCCGCTGCTCTCCCGTCCTGTCGCTCTCCCGTCCCGTCCCATCCTTGTCCCGTCCCGTCTTATCCCGTCCTGCCGCTGTCCCGTCCAGTCCCTGTCCCGTCCCGTCCTTGTCCTGTCCCGTCTTGTATTACCCATCACTGTCCCGTCTCGTCGCTGCCCCGTCCCATCCTTGTCCCGTCCCGCCGTTCTCCCGTCCCGCCGCTCTCCAGACATCCCCGCTCTCCCGTCCCTTCTCGCCCGCCCTTCCCTGCAGCCCGTCTCTTGCCACTTCTCGGCTCCCGGCGGTGCGAGCGCGGCTCTGCGATGCGGGCTCGGGGAGCGGTTGCCCTGATGCCGGGTCGGGACACCGGGATCGGGACACCGGGATCGGGACACTGGGGTCGGGACGCCGGGGTCAGGGAGCCGTTCGGCGGCACACGCCGGGGGAAAGCCCGGTTGTCGGGAAATAAAGCCCATGGCCACCGGCAAATCCTTGTCTTATGCATCCCACGACCAGGAACGTCCCCCGCGGCAGCTCCGGCCGCGCTCGCTGCTGACCGCGGAGCTGCAGCCATCGCCCCCTCCCTCCCTCCTGTTGGGGGGGAGGCTGCGGCCACGATGCTGAAATCCACGTTGCACGATAGAAAACACCGGGTCAAACCCTTCCAGTTCACCTGTGTCTGTCCTTTGGGTAAGAAATGAGCCAAAACCTTGCCCACGGTCTTCAGAGACCTTACCCGTGTTTTGCTATGAAGTGGGATGTAGCTACTGTTACTCTAGAGAAATTCAAACTCAACTGATCTAATTTGCTCCCCTGCATTTGCTGGGTATCCTGTTTTTCCGTCTGCCTTGTGTTGTCATGGGATTTGCAGCATGTCACTATTTAGCAAGCTCACCTGTTTCCTAGAGCACTGCACTGCAACTGCAGGGAAAGTAATGCTTCAAACTCATCCTTCCTTTTCACTGGGGACCTGTATTTGCAAGACAAAAAGACATCATCCTAAATAAAGAATAACCATTTATTACTGTGGAAGCTGTTTTCCTATTTTATCCCAATCCTTTATTTCAAAATTATTTATAACCCTAAATTAATTGTGTTTATTATTGCCACTTGGTCATCCAAAGCCGTGGCAGAATAGAAGTCACCAAGAAATTAGCATTTTAGGTATGATATTTAATATGGGTTTACAACCCCTCACAACATCACATTTTAAAAAAAGGAAGAAACAGGTACTTAAGTCTCTTTTTTTTTTTTCCCCTCAAACTGGATTAGCTTTCTGGTACTTCCCTGCCAGCTATTAATGTTTCTCCAGTTTTGACACTGCAGAATCAGACTGACCATGTGGCAGATTTGGACTGTAAGAATGTCTGAATACATAATGATTCCTTGTATTTTCCCCTTTTATGAACTAAAGAAGGGACAATCACATGAAAAACAGTGAAAAGCCCTTTAAAGGATTCCAGAGAAACACCTGTTCCCATATAATAAGCTTTTTCCTACAAATATATGTTGTTATTTCCCTCAAACACACGATTAAATGAAAATGAACTAAAAATTACTGTAATTTGAAATAAGTGTAATACACCCTTGTTTCTAAATCAATTCACAAAACTTTTCCCAAGTTCTACTGAAATTCCAAGATTTTGAAACTCAACCTGAACAGAATCAATATTTAGCAGGTTTCTGCAATGTATGCAAGTCTGTTTAGAGAAGATGTTTAGAGAAGAAAATTATTATTTCACTGCCTTACTTGTTACTTGAACGGATATAACACCCCCTACAAGTTTAGCTCACAAAAAAAGAGTTGAACTTTTTGCCAGGTTCAGCTTTCCAATGTTGATTACAATTCTCTGTAAAGCAAACCTTTTTTCTACCCTAGAAAAAAGGGAGTGATTCAGATTAAGCAACTCTTGATGCAGTTACACTGAGCAAAATAAGCAAATGGTGGCAGCCAGAACAATTTACAACTCTGCATAACAAACTCTTAGAAATAGTTTGTTATTTTCAGAATTAAAGATATAATTAGCAAGAGAAAATTTTCCATTCCACCTTATTCCTTAAGTATTTTCTCTGTGGCAAGAGGGGCTGATGCACTGCTTTGTCTTTTAAACGTACGCGACTCAGGAAAGAGTTTTATGCCATAAATTTAGGTGCCAAAATAATAGGTGGGTAATATTAGGGGGCTTTATTATTTTATTACTGCTCAAAGAACTTTCTGTACTTTTACAAGAGTATTGTTTTTACACTCTACCCAAGAGTTGTTTCTTTCCAGGATGTCCTTGTGGGCTCTTTTAATCTGACAACAATGGAGAAACTTTCTCTGCACTGAATATAATACACTGTATGACAAGCATTGTTGGCTTTACTGGTCCCTGTTGGACATCCAGTACTCACTGGACCTTGCCAATACCACACTGACAACCAAATACAGTTAAAAAAGGGGTAGCTCAGAAAAAATCCACTGAGATCAGTGAAGCACCACTGGCTTCTTGCTGGTGGTAAGTGCTGGAAGACAAAGCATCCAGTTGAAAGGCTGAAAATAGGGTATGAAAATACTTCAGCTCTCAGGTAAGATGGAACCAAGAGGACCAAGGCAGATCTACAGTTCTTACATAGTCACATATCCAGTGAAAAACAAACCTGCACTGAGGATAAGCTGCCTGGGGCAATGTCTTCTGCTCAGCTAGAGGCAACCACTGCCAGCAACATTTGCCCTGCAGGATCAGAACCCAACAGGTTTCTCATACCAGCTCCACCTGTCATCCAGTGTCTCCACTAAAATTCAGTTTGCCTTTGATACCCAGGAGCCTTGAACCAGCTTAGAAACAGGTGACATCAGTTCCAGCCCTTCCCACCCCAGTCTCCCAGCATCTGGACTGGTGGTCTAATCACCAAGTCGCTGAAAACACAGAGTCTCTCTTAGATGGCAAGTTTTGTCCTTGCCTATTTGACTTCAATTTAGCACTAACTAAGCGTTGACAGAAGGCAGATAAAATGGTTGTTATAAACTGCCAGAAAAAAGCTCCATCCAGCTCCCACCAAAGGGAACAGAAAAGTGACTGATGACTTCAGAGGATAATCAACAAGTGGTAAGGATGGAAGCTGGCCAAGTGTGCTGCAGATACCTCATTCTAACACAAAATAAAATGTATGTCCACAATGGACAGGCTACTCCCCATCTATCCACCGTCCTTCTCCACAAATTAATATCTTGGAGTCAACGCCTGGCCAGTGAATGGCCGAACTGTTGCTCAGATCCCCTTTGGTCTCTGAAATGGGTTGTTGCTCCACAGCCTCAGAAGGCCCTGGGATTTCCAGGATTCCTCAGAGGGAGTGAGAGTTCTGCTGCTCCCTCTGCTGTAATTGTCTCCCCTTTATCCCTTCAGGAAGGTCTGGCAACTCCGGCATCTTATGGCTCCTTGGGCACCCTGTCCCCTTCTGATCAGCATATGGTTATGTATGATCTGATGTAAAATTATTTTCTCTGGTTTCTCAGTGCCTGAAAAGACCTAACCTGGTACAACTTCTTACAAAGGAGTAAACACAAAAAAAAGCATGAAATAATTTCTCAAGAAATAAAGAAAAATACAACAAAAGCAGAAAGAAAGTACTTTTAAAAGTATATAAAAGAGAGTACTGTCACTCTTTCCACAAAGTCAGGGACAACATTATTACTGGTTCCAGGGGAAGCAGTAATGCTCTTGAAAAGTTTTGTTTGCTGCTGGCATATGTGAGTCTGTTCATGAATAAGTAAGTCCCCTGTTGCACATGGTTGTGTTGTAAAAGCAAGAATAGATTTACAGTCATAATCTTTCCAAAGTTCAAGCTGTAATGTTAGAAGTTAAACTCTACAAGTGTCTGAATCCAAGCAGATAATCCCAGTCTTCAAGCCTCAGCTATTGCTATAAAATTATATTTGTACTATTTATGGAATGTGCAGATACAGGGGAAATGTATTTATAGCTGTTTTGACTAGTTCTGCTGTATGCTTGGAGAAGAAACCGTGGAATTTGGGGTTTGGCATTTTGGACACTGGGCAAATTAGAGGGCCCCTAATTCTCTGGACTGCCATTTGCTGCTGTGTGGTTATCAGGTCAGCCAGGCATCTCTGGTTGGAAGCAGAGTATGATTCTCAGCAACAGCCACGTCATGTCTTCAGCTAATTATCTGTGCTAATTATCTGTAAAGTGCATGCCCAGCTCCTCTCCCTTGACTTTAGGAAATATTGACACAAGTCACACGTTGGAAAAGCTACCTGTCATCTTTGAATTGTAATTAGATTCAATACTTTGTATTGAATTTACTGTTTCTGTTGAAGTCAAATTTTTCCCCTACACACTTGGAATGAAGTAACTTCTGTCATGAAGTAAGGCAGCTAAATCCTTTCACTATACCAATAAATTAGACTTCTGCTTTTCTGTCACCTTGGAAATCAGTTTCTTGGAGCATTTTGGTATTAAGCAATGATGTCAGCCATAGATTCTTCAGTTTCTTTGTATTATATCCAGTAAAAGCACTGAGTATTTGTTAAAGCTCAAAGAATACTGCATAGCCTGTTGGTTTGGTGAAGATGGTTTACAAGTGTGGAGTCCTGGGTCCCCCAGTGAGCATGAGGAAGCTGTTTGCTACTTTAACCACTCTTTCCCTGTGAGAAGGACACAGGTCCTGCAGGGAGCAGGGGCTCTGGGACCTGTACAGTCCACTCATGCTGTGGCTTTATAGTAAATCTGGGGTTAGAGGGGCTACTACTAGATTAAAAATGCCACAGCTGTGTGACACAAAATGCAGATCATTCACATGATCTCAGTTGTCCTGCAGTCTGTTGAGAGGCTCATTTTTCACTGGCAGGATTCTCACTGGAGCAGGTACTGTCTGTCTGCATCGCTTAACTTAGTCCTCCATCAGGTGCTGCCTGTCCCTTCAAAACTGGCACAGTGGTGGCATAAACTGCATTTCATGCCTCTGGCAAAGGCAACAGGAATGTGATTCAGTGCTCAGGCCTGATACAAATCCAGTGGATACAGCTGGGTGCTTGGACAGCTCACACATTCACTGTTCATGAAAATATGATCGTGTCTTATGACTAACCAATAGATCATATGATTAGTTAGTACAGCACCGTATTTGCTGTTACACACCCTGAACTGATTTATTACACTGTTCATCTCTGGATGTTCTTGAGAACGTTGAGAGCAGGTTGTCCCCCCCACCCCTGCATGGATGGACCTGCATGTCCCTCTCACTGACACTACTGCTTATCTGATTCCTTTGTGAGCTAATTCAGCTCAGGGAAAAAAAAAAGGGAAAAAAAAAAGATGTTTAGGTATCTGTTGGCATAGGGAGCTGAATTATCTTCCCAAGGTGTCACATGAGCTCCAGCCCTGGCCTAAAAATTCAGTGTCCTGCTCAGGAAAGGGAGAGTATGGATTTGCCTCTTTCACTGGCAGCAAACTGTTCACTCACTTCAGCCACCCATGTGAGTCAATCCAAACATTTTTGCCCACTGACACAAAAAAGGGCCATTTTTAATATAAAAATATAGTTCCACTCATTTTCAGAACATATCCTTCCCAACACTGGCAACATTGTTGCAGTATTATGGCTTTATCGGAGGGAATGCAGAATATTTTCTGCAGTAATTCAGAATGCTCCCTTTCTGAGCAGGAAGAAAAAGAATAATCATAAACCAGCATTGTAGCGAGTATTTAACCACACTTATTTTACCATCATTATTTATTTGTATATGCTGGTAGCACTTAAGAGAATCCAATCAAGAATCAGGCCTCCATCGTGCAACACACTAAACAAACACATAATAAACAACCAGCCCATGCCATCAGTGACTTTATACACTTGAGGTTTTATAAAACCTTCAAACTGGAATATTTTGGATGAATCTAGACATTCCAAAATGAAGCTTCTAAAGTAATAAGTAAAGGAGATTGTATTGGAAAATGTCATGATTGCATT